TCTGTCTCTTTTTTGAGAACACATGACGTTTAATCAACTGTATATCCCCAATGCCTGTCATATAGTACCTGACACAAAATAAGCATGCCACGTGACTGTTGAGAGAAGTCAAATAAATGTTTTCTGAATGTTTCATGGTATCAATGGAACACTGAAATGAAAATAGGACAAAGATAAGAGGTACAAGGGGTAGAGGACAAGAATGGGGAGATGTACAAGTATTACACATACACATGCAAAAACAAAAAAAGTTTAAAAGACACTTGTATACAATAGCATCAAAAAGAATAAAATACTCAGGAATAAGTTTTACAAAGAAAGTGCAAAACTTTTATCTTGAAAGCTCTAAAGCACTGTTGAAAGAAATTAAAGACCTAAAGAAATGGAAAGACATGGGTAGGCAGACAGTATTGCAAGGTGACAATACTTCCCAATTATCTACAAATAAAATGCAATCCCTATCAAATTCTCAGCTGGCTTTTTTGCAGAGATTGACAAACTGATCATAGAATTCTATGGAGACAGAAAGGACTCCAAATAGCGAGATCGATCTTGAAAAACAGGAACAATGTTAGAAGATTCACACTTCCTGCTTTCAAAACTTACTACAAAGCTACACAACCAAGACAGTGTGGTGAGCAATGGAACAGCAGTGAGAGTCCAAAACTAAACCCTTACATTTATGGTCAACTGGTTTTTGAACAATAGACAAAAAATAATCTTTTTAAACAAATGGTGTTGGGACAACTTGATATGCACATGCAAAAGATTGGGATTCCTCCCTTACAGCACAAAATTTTACTCCAAGTGTATTACAGACATAAATGTAGATGATAAAACTATAAATCTCTTTGGAGAAAACACAGGATTAAACCTTTGTGATTTTGAGTTAGGCAAAGCCTTCTCAGATACATCACCACAAACAACAAAAGAATTAAAAAGAGAGATAAATTGAATGTGGTCAAAATTAAAAACTTCTGTGCTTCAAAGGACACTCTCAAGGAAGTGAAAAGACAACACACAGAATAGGAGAAAATGTTTGCAAACAGTGGATCTGTAAGAGACTTATATCTAGAAGATATAAAGAACACTTATAACTCAATAGTAAAAACAAATAAATACAATTTTAAAATGGGCAAAGAATCTGAATAGCCATTTCGTCAAAAGATACAAAAGTATCCAATAAGCACATGAAAAGAAGCCCAATGTCATTAGCCAGCAGGGAAATGGCAATCAACACCACAATAAGGTCTCACTTTATACCCACTAGGAAGCCATGATTAAAAAGGCAAAGAATAATGGTTGGCAAGGCTGTGAAGAATTTAGACCACTGAGCACTGCTGGCAGGGATGTAAAAGGTACAACTACTCCAGGCAACAGTCTAGCAGTTCATTGAAAAGTTAAACATAGAGTTAGTATGCAATTCATCAATTCAATTCCTAAGCGTATATACCCAAGAGAAAGGAAAACTTACGTCCACATACAGGCATGTCCATGAATGCTCACAGCAGCATTATTAATAATAGCCAAAAACTGGAATCAACAGTCTATCAACTGACAAAAGAGTAAATAAAATGTGGTACATCTGTATAAGGAATACTATTTGGCAGGAAGGAATGAAGTACTGACACAAGCTACAAAATGGATGCTT